ACCCCAAAACCCCATAAAAATGACAGTATCTCATATAATTGAAAGATAAAATTAAATATAGAAATCTTTAATAGTTGTTAACAGTTTATATAAAATTTGAAACTACTTTGCATTATTCTCTCAAGATGTCAAACTTAGTTTCTGAATTCAGAGCTTCTTTTGAAAATGTACTCAGCCAAGTAGTCAACTGGATCAATAGGCCCAACTTTGCACACTTCAATCATTCCTTCAGTTAGTACTGGGATAATGAACTTCATTAAGAATTATCTCATGTTCAATTTATCGCATTATTCTAATTCCTACATATGCTTCTTTATTTCAGCCCATCTTTTATCAGCTAATTTTTCAAGTTCATCTACTTTGGCTTTAGCAGTTTTTTCTTCCTCCTCCTTTAATTTCTAATTTTCTGCATTCCTTGATTGTTCTTCAACACTTAATACCTCGTCTCTCTTGTGATTTAATTCATCTAAGGAAGAGAGATAGTTATAAGGTCTACCATCTCTCTCAATGTAGATCCTCATAGATTCAAACATCTCAAATTTTTCTCCATCACAGTCGAGTTCGAAAATTTCAGTTTTATTCTCTTGGAAAAATCTTATAGTTGGGAATACTACACCATTTGCAGGGTCAAGAGCAGCTTTGAAATTAGCTATCATGTTATTACTCTAATAATCGTTATATCTTCTTTCAAGATCATATGGCATCCAGTGAGATTTTTAAACTTCCTCATTAGACATTTTATCAACAATACTTTAAACTTGATTTCTTGTTCCTCTTAATAGTACAACAGAATCAGGATAGATATTCTTTTAGAAAACTGGTTTAAGAAGTCTTTTCATTTCTTCCTCACTTATCTCTTCCTTCTATCCTTCTTCACCCTCAACTGGGGCTTCATTTTATTTTGGAATACCAGGTACTACCTCAAACACTGCTTTGGCTTGTTTATAGGTTCTTGGGTATCCATCTAAGACATAACCTCTGTTTTGACAATCATTTTGATTAAGTCTCCATCTAACAGCTTCATTCATAAGATCTTCTGAGAATCTTTGATCAGGATATTGATCTTTCCACTCAAGTATTTTCTTCTTGATTTCGATTTCTTTCCAGTCATCATCCGAATCAGACTCTACTGCTTCTTTTTGCTACTTCTGCTTTGCTGCATCTTCACCACCTTCCTCTTAGCCTTCAGCAGGTGGTTAATCAGCTTGACCCTCTGCAGGTTTTTCCTCACCTCTCGCTGATTTCTCATGATCATCAGGATCTTCTCCTTTAGCTAATTTAGCCTATCTTTTGGCTTCTCTTTCAATTTCTTCTTATATCATTTTTTCTCTTTCCTCTGCTTCTTTCTTTAATCTTTTTGTTTCCCTTTTCTTTCTAATTGTGTCTTCTCTTTCTTAGTCCCATTGAGCAATATCCTCTAGCATTTTACCGACATGAATATGTGGAACATTATAGTGCTCTGCTAATTGTTTGCCATAGAATGATTTTCCTGATGCTGGAGGTCCAGTAATAAAGATCTTAACTGGCTTTAATCCTCTTTCATTCTAGAATTCCTCCTTTACAATATTGATATTATCTTTGAGGCCATTTTTACTATGCCAGTTAAAATCAACTGGTTCTTCCTCTTCATTTTATGAAACGAATAAGGCACTTGGTTTCAATTTAAGATTAAGCATCAAAGGAATCTTCCAATCAAGCTCTAATTATAGTGGAGTTTTCTTTGGATGGTATCTTTTGGGATGATCTGGATAATCTAATGATTCAATTAAGCCGGTACCGATTCCACTTGATATAGCCTGGATTAATCTTTTTTAAGTTGGTCTTTTAGTATTATCAACAGCAAAAATATACTGTTTCTCTGGCTTTGATTCATAGACTTTCTTTACCATTCTAGCAAGATCGGTGACATGCACAGTGGGAACAAGATTTTTACCCTCACCAACATATGGAAGTTTTCTTGGATTTTATAGCCATGCTCTTTTGAAGTGATTATTGAAAATGCTTTCTCCTTTACCGTACATTATACCTGAGGCAATAACAAAGGTTTTGACATTATCTTTCTTGAATTCCAGGATTTCATCTTCTATTCTCTTGATTTCCTCATATTCAGCACTTGGAATTCTAGTTTGATAGTCTTCCTCACTGAAAGGTAGATGAATAAATTTCTTAGGCTTAGGCGGAGCTTTTTGAACTGGAACTTCTTCCTAATGCTATTAATCCTCTCCATCAACTTGCTCATCCTTTCCCTCTCTGCTTACATTGTCCTCATCATCTTTCTCTTCTTTTGCAGCTTCCTCTTCCTTTGGTTGATCTCCTCCTTCTTGTTCAGGATTTTCTTACTCTTATTCTTCACCTTCTTTCCCTTCCTTGATTTCCTTTAACTTATTAGGAGTTTTGTTCCAAACCATAAGTGAAGATATAAGGATTAGAACTTTTTCTTCTTCAATATTGTGCTTTTTAAGAGCTAAAAGATTAATTATTGCTAAAATACCTTAAAGAGCAAGATCAACATCTCTTGGATTACCAGCATGTAGATCATATACTAGCAAATCACATTCACTTAAGTACTTCATTGTCAATCTTGGTTTAGATCTCTATAAAAGATAACCGTTTTTTAAATTCATGAAAGATTATACTAACCTTAAGCATCTTAGTAATGCCATCTGGCTTATCAGAACTATCTCTGTCAATGTAAGTACCGAAGATAAGATTAGCATCATCATTCTTTTCACCTTCGTCATTAATGTCATTTCTCAATTCATTGAAGATTGCTTGAGATATATAAGAATTTATATTGTTTATAAAAATTCTTTTTGCCATTTTATTTTATTTAAATTTATATTTGAACTTGTTATTTCTTAATTTAATCTTATGGGGTTTTGGGGTTTTGGGGTTTTGGGGTTTTGGGG